AAATCACAGAAACCATTTGAAAAAAGTTTCATTCGAAAACCTCAAACCATGAAGATTCTATGAAAATTCAAAGAACCTATTGCAATAAAACGGCAATTTCATACTTTAACCCCTAATATATTGATTTGTAATGATTAAAAATTAAGTTAAACTTATTTATTTACATGTATCTCTTCAATTAATAGTACATAGGACATAATTTCTCATTAAATAAAAATACGCGATGTTCATTTCGTAAAATTATGACAGCGACATCTATATGCTCGATGGCGACAATAACAGTTGACCTGGATCGTAATAAGTCAGCAGGCCCTGATACCTTACCTGCTACGTTATTAACAAATTGTGCCCAGGAACTTGCTACACCAGTCACTATTCTGTTCAAACGGTCACTTAATGAAGGCATCGTGCCCACTATATGGAAATCGGCATATATAACACCCATCCACAAAAAGGGGTCCAAAACCAAAATAGAAAACTATAGGCCTATCTCTAAATTATGTATACTTGCTAAGGTCTTGGAACGTGTGGTGTTTAACAATCTATATGAGTCTATCAAGTCAAGTCTCATACCGCAACAACACGGTTTTCTGCGAGGTAGATCCACAGTCTCAAATTTAGTAATTTTTAATGAGTTTTTGACTTTTAATATGGACGAAGGTAACCAGATTGATGCTGTGTACACAGATTATAGTAAGGCATTCGATCGTATAGATCATAATCTTCTATTATCTAAATTATTAACTCTCGGTATACATGGTGATTTGTTTAGATGGTTTACATCGTATCTTTTGTGTAGGTCTCAGTCTGTAGTACTCAATGGCTTTGCTTCTTCATGGGTAACTATTCCTTCTGGTGTTCCCCAAGGTTCGTTACTGGGACCCCTTTTATTTGTGATATTTATTAATGATATCGGATCATGTTTAATAAATTCAAAGTTCTTATTATTTGCTGACGACATGAAAGTTTTTAAAGTTGTTAATAATATCTCAGACGCGATTCTTTTACAAGAAGATTTAGCAAGACTGGATATATATTGTACAACTAACAAACTTGACTTAAATGTATCGAAATGTTATTATATAAATTTTACTAGAAAGCGAAATATTTTCAATTATATTTATAAAATTAAAAATTGTAATCTTACTAGGAATGCCTTTGGATCTGATTTGGGTGTAATTCATGACAGTAAGTTATTGTTTGACCAGCATATTTCTTACATATATGACAAAGCTTACAAAGCTTTAGGATTCATCATTCGTACATCAGAACGGTTTAAAAATATGAAAACCCTGAAAATCCTTTACTGCACTTTTGTTCGTAGCCATCTTGAGTATGCATCCCAAATTTGGAATCCTAGCTATGATACTTACTCTAATAAAATTGAAAAATTACAGAAGAAATTTACTAGATTTTTAAATTACAAATTTAAATTGCCCCAATTGGAATATGTATATCGTTGTAGAAAACTTCATCTGTTACCTTTACACCTGCGAAGAAATATAGCCGATGCCTGTTTTTTGTTGAACATCGCTCAGAGTAAGATTGACTGTCCTGAGCTCCTTAGTAACATTTTACTCAAAGTTCCAGTTAGAGCATTTCGAAAGCATAATTTGCTCCATGTTCCGGTTGGCCGTACCAATTTTAGAGGTAATAGTTATCTGCCAAGATCATTAACATTATTTAACCAGCTCAATGATGACGGTCGCATAGACCTTTTCTGTAATAGCGTTATAAATGTAAAAGCTATTATGATTGATAACTTCTTATCAAATGACTTATAAGGCGATTGTTGTGTTTTCATAATTAGATGTATCATTGTAATTTTAAGCTTGTGTTATTGTAAGATTATTTTCTTAAGTTCAAATGTGGAAGCTTTTAATTGGCATCTGTTTGATCATACTTAAATCTATATTGTAAAAGTAGCTGTAAGCTCCCCAAATATAATAAAATAAAATAAACACTAAACTATAATTCCGAATTCATAACGTGACAATCAAGACTCAGCTTGTTTTATTTAATTTTCTTCATGAAAATGCAGAAAAATAATTGAAAACAACGTAATTTGCACAGATTACATTATTACATACTTTTCTTTTTTTGCCGTTAAAATTCTCTGAATGTAAATAATATTAAGCACTTTAACATTATTCTACGACAGGACGATTCGAAACATCAAAAAAGAAAGAGATAGCATTATACAGTTCACATCGCGTTATTTCTTTCCTATTATATTGGGAATAGACAATATTGAGAAATCATTCGTTCTTTCAGTCACTTTAGCAATAACACATTGCATTGATAGGTTTGTCATGGTACGAATATAAGTAACATTATAATAAGCTTACATTGAAATAAGATTGTTTTTTGAAAGGTTATGGTTAGGCCTTCAGGTTTCATAACAATGTTTTCTTTCACCGAAAAGCTAATGGTAAATTTCAAATTAAATTTACACATAAATTCTGAGAAATTCAGAGGTGCGAGCCCAGATTTGAATCTGGATTGCATGAGAGATGGTAGGTCAAACGTCTTATTCTTATTACCTTATATCGATCCCTCCTACTTAAAGTATCGTATGTCGAACTTGCCAAGTTTACAGGGGAGCGTTTTAAAGTTCTGAATTCACTGAAATGTGCATAACACGTAAATTTAGCATTTCTCAGTTTTATTCGAGAATGAGTTTTAAAGTAACGTGCTTTGCCGAACAAAACTGTGAAATGCTAAAGTCACGTGTTATGCTCTTTTCAGAGAATTCAAAACTGTAGACGCTCCCCTGTAAACTTGGCAATTTCGACATACGATACTTCAAATAGAAGGGGTCGATATATCGAGTGAACTCACCATAAGTTCCAAAATAAGGTTCCTCTTTTTAACGTAGTCTTTGACGAACTGGTCTTGCGGCTTGGCGGGTGGTTTGACGCTGCGGTTGGAACGCTTGCCCGCTATGCTGCCTGCCCCGCTACTCAAAGTCGTTGTTGACATTGGCACCTGGGAACCAAAAGCGTTAATGAGGAATCGGACAAGTTTTCAAAAAGTGTTTAAAATTAATGGGCAAAAAAATCGTTAAGAAATAAAAACCAAAGACCTGCAACAAGCACATCTACTCGTCCGTAGAACAACGACCGATGTGCAAGATGCTGCTTATTCTCGGGACATTGTACATTTCGTTCGTTGGTCTCGACTGCGGATACTACAGTCAAGATCGACTGTAGTTCGATTTTATATTTTCGAAACGAAACGGTCAGTCAACCGTGAAAAATAGTTTCATTTCCTAGGAGCAATTGTTTTAATGGTTGATTTTGCTATTCTCCAATTCAAGGCGTTTTTCTCTCTCAATATACTTTGAGTAGTGAGAACCGATTTGTATTATCTCCTGTATCAAGTTCCGTATAGTGGCGAACTAGGGGATGAATCCGGGTTTGCGCACTTTCCGGTAACCGATTTCAGTACTCTGTACTGATATAATTCCGGATTTAAATAGCGTATATTTGTTTTTTCAAACTTTACACGTCTCATGGTCACGGATGGCCGTGTCAGTCAATCGTGACCATGGGACATGTAAAGGTACCGAAACGTTGGTTTGTTTGAAAAAATAAATATACGCGATTTAAATCCGGAAAAATAGTTTCATTTCCTATGTGTAACAATCGCGAAAACCTAAGAACTCGATAAAGTAGACATTCTACACAGGCCACTTGCGAGAAATTTACACATTGAATGCCTACTGTCAACGATCCCTCAAAAAAAAAAACAATAAAATACGCAAACAGTGAATACGATGACGTATCTTTGTTGACTTATGTATAACGTCATAATAATACTGCTTGATGTTTGCATAACTGATTAAAAATATTGCAATTCTCAGATTTTATTTATTGATTTAAAAATACAAATTGTTATTAGTTACACAAAAAAATATTGATTAGCAAATCGTTTTTATCTTACCAACTACGTTTTAGGTTTTTCCGATTTTTGTCCAACTGCCTATTGTGAAGAGTAAAAATAATTAGTAATAATATAGCCCAAAAAAGCAGGGTTAGAAATAATCAAAAATGATAATATTTCTTTTCTTTGATATTGCTACTAAAGATTCGCAAATGTACGTAACATGTTACTATAGTCTGTATTTTTTGAAGACGGAGTAAAATGACAGTTCATTGTGTAAAAGTGTTGCCCGCTTGCGAGCTGCTAGTGATTGTTGTCGATAAATATTCTATCGACTATCGACTGCATATTGACCACGCTTAAGGAATAAATAGTTTGTTTGGCACCGAACTTGTTTTATTTGAATAATTCATCCAATTACTGAGCACAAGTTCATTTGAATGGTTAATTTTTGTAAGTTCTTACATACATGCACTGTATTTAGAATTATGCCTTTGAAAAATACAAAGAAATTATTTTAAAGTGTTTCATTTTAATTCAATACAGATAATCAAATCCGGCTATTCTTGTTGAAATGTATATGAATAAAAATTGATCGATACTAGTAGGCCAGCTGTCACAATAAGAATAAAGAAGGCAATTTTGTAACACTCACATTTCAGTGATTTCTAACAAAATTTTAACTTATTTCACAATTTATCGATAAAATTATCGACAACAACTACATAACTATTTAAGCATTTTATGAAAACTGGCAACCCTATAAATGTTATTTTACTCCGTCTCCAAAAAAGACAGACTATATAATGAACTATCAATTGAAAAACAATCTTTATGCGGTTCTTAAGGGATTTAATATAAAATGAAAAGAGGTTTTTATATATATAAAAATTCTTGCACTTACAGTATTAATCCACCCGGTGGTTTGTCGACTTCCAATGTCACTGCTATTCACAGATGATCTGTTATCAGTTGGTGAGCTCGACATGTACACGCTCTGTTGACTGCTCGGGCCCATAAGATCGAATTCACCTTAAACACGATAAATGTTCGGTAGTGTCAGTTTTATAGAAACAGGCGAATGTTATTTTTATTTAAAATATTTTGAAGCTGTAAAATGCCAATTCAAATATAAACCTTATATCTAAACGTCTAAAGTAACTTTAATTAATTAGTTAACTATTAGTTTGTTATAATTATTAAAAACAAAGATCGAACAATTAGAAAAAAAAATCCTTCGATCTGGCCGGATTCGAACCGACGTCTCCTAGCAAACCGTGCCAGACGCTATGCCATCTAAGTCACGGAACGAACCAGCGGACCTCTCGAATTTTTTTATGTGCTTGTTGTCGGATCTTTGTTTCTGGTTTTTAACGACTTTTTTGCCGTAGCGCCATCGGTGACAATTCTATGAAAGTATTTCTTCACAAACTAGTGGAGTAATTTCACAAAACAAAAATTGAATATCATGGCGGTGGTGAAACATACTGACATTCCATAAAAACTTACTACCTGTTACCATGTTCTGCCTTGTCAAAATGTTCACAAAAAACCTACGATAATTCAAATATAAAATATCAATGCTTTAGTATCGTCAACCCACTATACGTCTCACTGCTGGGCACGGGCCTCCTCTAAAGGGCAGGGTTTAGGTTGTCTGTCACTCTGGCCTGATGCGACCTCGACAACCTAACGGTTTGCACTGTGCTGGATGCCGGACCTCATCCAGTTGACTGTAGATGCGTTTGTGATATTTATTTTTTATTTTTAACTGCATGAAAAAAAATCAACACAAGCACAGCAGTTTTGCATGATCTTATCTTGACTGGGTTCGCGGCATAGCAAGGTAATTTACTTCTATTCTTATCACAAAAAAATATACTATGGTACCGACACGCTATAGTGACCGTTTAGACGTTTGTCCGCTCATCAAGTTTCGCATTAATTCATAACTACGTTAAAGGAGCTAATTGATTTACATTGTTGTCAATAGTGACGTGCTGGAAAATTTATGGAATTGTATAATTTTACAACACAACTCGGCATTTGTTTTTCAAAATTCGAAATTTTCAAAAATGAAATCTAATACGATCGTCACTTATGGGATCGCAGTCCAGCACAACTTCTACCTCCGGCAAACTCGTGTCAAAGCTCAATGCAAAACAAAGCAGTTTCGAATTGACGATTAGTTACTCTTTAATCAGCTTCCCCTTGCAATACTTATAAATGCGACTCGCATTTGATTATATATTTTTTCGATAATGAATTGAGATTTGACCTCAGTATTGTATTCTGTCAAAACGGCCATGATAGTGTGCCGGTACTGGAGTCACCATTTATCTCACTTACCTCCAATATCGCTGCATTTCAAGTACTTCTTATCGGAATGCATAAGCTGCCAGAATTTGATCAAAGATATGATATCCTCCCTCAAAGCCCCGCTGCTTCGCGAAGGGCACTGCAATCCTCGACAGAAGTAATCTAGGGACACACTGTAGACTCGTTCGCGGAGAATGTTGCGAGCCAGAGAACGAGGTAGGATGTCGCCTTGGAGGAGGGACAGACCGCAGGATAGAAGTCTAAAAGAAGATAGAGCTGTCAATTCACAACGCATTTTAAGAAACTGCTTTATGCAGTTATGGTCGTACATTAATATATCTTTTTTTTTCTGTAAAAAAGACCTTTTATTTATTTTTTTCTTAATTTGTTACAAAGTAAAACAAAACCTCAAAACTAACTAAAATCCATCTTATTTACAATACTAATGAGCAATTTTAATTTAATATAATATCCTAAAATAAAAGTAATTCAAACATAAAGAAATTGAGAAACTGTTGATAATTAAATTGTTCCATATGTTCAAAGAAGCAAAAGTTTTCGTATATGACTTTTTATAAATATTCCAGAGATATCGACTGTGAACTGGCAGTCGGTACTATCTAAATTTTGATAACTTTACAGGATGAAGAAAAAAACTGTCTACGTCATTTATAATAGCATCTGGTTTATTAAATAAAAATACGTAGTTTTTAAATATTTTAATTACACATGTATGTATGTACACTACGTATTTTTATTTAATAAACCAGATGCTATATGATTTTTTCTTCACCTGTAAAGTTGTCAAAATTAAGTTAGTACCGGATTGCCAGTTCACAGTCGATATGTATGTATATATGATATGTTTTTTATTCTTGTTAGTGAAAAAAGATCAGTACGATACGTTCTGTTTTTGTTTTGTTTTTCGAATTTCGTTTTTTGTTTCTTTATTGTTTTTCACAAAAATTCGGGGAGCATAATATTATTATTTACTAATATATATAAATATAAATATGGCTGTTTACAAAAAAAAACAGAAAGTGACCAAAAAATTTAGTATAAATATATAATAGGCGTAGTGTTCATTGGAGGCCTGGATTGGTAAAGCTTATGTGGCGCCATTACTGTGTAACATGTTTTAGATTTGATTATAATTGTATGACAGGCATTTACGAGGGCTACCCAGAAAATATATCACGTTTTTGTCTAAAAAGAACTATGTACAAGAAAAACATTTTATTATATATATTTCGACATACTCTCCATACAAATTCAGGCACTTATCTCGGCGGAAAACAAATTTTAAAATTTCAGCGTCATAAAATTTTCCGGCTTGAAACTTCACAGCCTTAGAAATTATTTTCCATATTATCAAATCATATTGAAGTCTCAAAATACAACAACTTACTTGAATCTTACTCCAACAGCTTCCACGTGTCTGTTAATGTGTTCACCTCTCATGTCACCCACGGTAATGGGTAGACATCTAAAAAAAAAAAAGATTCTGGCTGAAAAGAAGCTGGAATATTTTTAAGTGCACGGTTAAACAATTGAATAGATATTTGCACACATATCTATTATCCCGACGTTACATCGCGTTTGTGCCATTTTTGTAATGTTGTAATGCTCATTTAAAAAAGAACTAATACCTTGCAAACCGCCAAGAGCTTGGCTCTTAAATAGAATGATGGTGACCTTGAAAATAACTTCGTAACGAGTAATATTGAGGTCTGTTTTGTCTACCTAATTTCGGTCGCAATTTTTATTATTTAAGTATTCGTGTATATTTATACATGAAATAATATTTCAGAAAATTGCACTCGAATATTAAATAATAACTTCATGATAATATTGTAAAACATTTAAATAATAAAAATTGCCACCGAAATCTGTTCTGAAAATTATCCTAACATTTTTATTTTATGGTTCTCTTACATTTGTTATAATATCACGTACAATAAATTTAATGTGGTAAATATATTATGTAATTCTTATCTAATAATACTGCGCAAATAATTATGAGTGAACAACTTGCAAAAACACCGAAAATATAGAGAAATATAAACTAAAAAAACAGTAACTATATGTAAATAAATTTTAAATTATTAGAAAAACGCAAAAAATGTTCAAAGTTACCCGAATTGACTGTAATCCGTCCAACCGTTTATTTAACTTTTGACAAAAAAAAATGACAATACATCCTGGACTCTTTTTTTTTATTTTAGTGAAGCGACGTGCTCTTTAGCTTCGATATTTATCGAGTCAACAGATTATGCAACGAAGATTATGCAAGTTGATAAATTTTGGTAACTCTCTAATAAATTATAATGAAATAAAATAAATTATATATAAATATAATAAATTCTTATTGTTTATTATAATGAATCGTCGGATTCTTCTCCATATGAACGGGATTCATCACTTGAATCCTCATTAACATTAACTATTAATTCTTGAGTATATATTTTGTCAAGTGCAACATCACGATCATAATCAGACAATATCTTCTTTTTTGAGCCCGCTCACATTCACGATTAAACTTCTTCATAAATAAAATCGATTGTTATAAAAAATCGAATCGGAAACGCAATAGGATATCACTAATGTATTAGAATTCAAGCTGTCAAAAGTTAATTAAATGGTTGGACGGAGTATACAATGTGTTGATTTGCGTCCTCGCCATATTTACAGCGGTCATTCTATATTCGAAACTGAACCTAAATCACTAAAAAAATAAATCGGAAAAAAATAATCCTAAACACTTGTTTTTTTTATTTAATGGTGGTAACCATGCTTGATCCAAAGACTTGCACTACACGTGCCACAGTTCCGGCAACTTTTTGAACAATGACCTATGGGCAGAAAATATGTATTTTAGATCTATTTGGTGGTAGAGTACGGGTAGGGACAGCGGGAGTATCGTATCGAGCGCGTGATTGGTAGATCATCAGTTGACATTGCGTCTGCTGTCCGCTGAGATCGCGCATACGTTCTAGTTTCTCACGAAATGCTATGTGGTTTGGTATGTAAACTAGAGTTAGTGCAAAAAAACCGCTACCAGGTTCACCAGACCCTGCATTACCATCAAGTGTGTTCTTATAGCATAATGTGAAACGTTTGCTTTACGTGCGTTTGCTTTTACGAGTGCTTTTTTCTGCTTTTTCTGTTGTGAAGAATGTGTTAAGTTGAAACGAAACTGCCTACCTGCATATCTGTGACTGGCTCCGGTCCGGAGCCACCTGCTGTGGAGTTAGTTACTTCTAGCAATACTTTCATGTAACCTAAAGTTGGTAAGTACTAAATCTAAGTTACAAAAAATCTTTTTTCAGTCGACTTTTCTAACTAATGTAAATAATGTAAAAAAAATAGGTAAATAAGCGATCGAGAAAGATTACACATCGCTCGGTGAAGCGAGTGGCAGGGTCACTCGGCAGTGAATACACTTGGGGACAATTTTACAAAATTTTACTAGATACAATTAGCCAGAATATCGGACAGAAGTTTTTAAAATATTTTTAGATATAGCATTAATATTTCTATTATTAATTTCTTAAATATGGCGAGAATGCAAATCAACACGCTGTACACACATCAAAAAAAGTTTGCGATCACTTCGAAAAACTGAAATCTTTTTTGTTACTGTAGATTATATTATGATTTTTTCTTCTTGTTAGATTCTTTATTTAAAAATAAATTAGAACATAAAACAATGACCCCGTTCAATTGTTTTTTCATATAAAAAGGCTTTCAGTCCTAGCTTACGCTCATTCAGAAATCTGATTTAGTCAATTATAAGCGATTCAAGATATTTTTCGCGGAAAGTTGTGATTGAAAAAATGCCAAGAGGATTATCAGAGGTTTTACGAGCTAGAATAGTAACTTTGAGGGAAGAAGGATACACCACGAGAGTAATAGCACGCAGACTTGCTATATCCCAATCCTGTGTCGTGGCTACGTTGCAGAGGTATCACGGAATGGGGAATTTAGCTGACCGACCCCGCAGCGGTCGCCCAACTGTTTTGACAGCTGCCCAAAAGCGCTATATTAGATTGCTGGCAGCCCGTGATCCAACAATCAACGCCACTAAAATAAAAGCAGAAGTCAGGGCCGCCTCTGGGCTTGAAGTTAGCACGCAGACCGTTCTCAATTGCTTGCACCAGGCTGGATTACGAGCACGGAGGTCTTGGCGAGCTCCGCTCAATTCCCGGCAACGTCAACAACGAAGATTGCAGTGGGCTAGACTTCGGCAAAATGAAGAAGGTGAGGACGAAAACATTTGGCAAAACTGTCTCTTCGTTGACGAATCCCGAATCAGCACTCATCCAGATAACCGACGTGTCCGTGTCTGGAGAAGACCAGGCGACCGTGAAAGACAAAGAACTGCCACTGGAACAGTTCAGCAAGGCGAAAAATCGGTGTCCTTTTGGGGTGGCATTATGATTGGAGCTAGAACGCCTTTGATCCCGTATCGGGGCTTCATGACAGCAGACATGTACAAAGCAGTTGCTATTGATGATATCGTCAGACCATTCCGAGTAAACCATGGGCACCAATTTGTACTGGTCGATGATATTGCGCCCGCACATCGAGCTCAACGAGTCAATGCTGCTCTTCAAGAATACGATATCACACGATTAGACTGGCCTGCCGGCTCGCCCGACTTAAACCCAATAGAGCACGCGTGGGATGCTCTTAAACGAGCAGTATGGAACCGTGAGCCACGTCCCCAGACAGTTCCAGAGCTCAGGGAAGCCGCTATTGAAGAATGGGATAGGTTACCCCAGGAAATGCTGGATAACTTGATCCTCAGCATGCCCAGGAGGATCTTCGCATGTATTCGAGCCAGGGGAGGAGTTATTTTATATTGAATTCACACCTTTTAATAATAAATTGTTGTTTAAGTTTAATTAAACAGTCTTTTTCTTTCTATGAAATTTCTATCACTATTACATTATGATTAATGGCTCAATTTTTTAAAATAAATAATAAAAAATAGTTTTATATTTTAATTTCAAACAGGGTATTCCTATTTAAAGAAAGCATACAACATAGATTTTTTCTTGATAAAGTTAAATTTAAAGAATTATAGGAGCTTATGCTATTGATCGCAAACTTTTTTTGATGTGTGTATGTGTAAAAAAGTCTTCACTTCACTTTGTCAACCCATTTACAAGTCCCATTGCTGAGCACGGGTATCCTCATGGCCTAAACCCATGCGAGGGTTTAGGCCATAGTCCACCATGCTGGCCCAATGCGTGTTAGGGACTTCCGAGGGCCTGATAACCCTCCTTTGACGTGCAGGTTTCATAACGATGTTTTCGTTCGCAGGGAAGCTCATAGTAAACTCTATTTAAAAGGCGCTAGGTCAAATCATTAGGCTACCATGGCTTCTAAAAAAAGTAATAAACAATTTTAAATTTTTTAAAATAACGTGTGTGCCCACTGGTGTTTGCGTATTCGTGTATGCGTGTGTGTACTATGTGCCCGGCAGATGAGCGTGTATATAATGAATATGCACAGATGAAAATGATACTGACCTGTGTAACAAACTGGCAAGCATTTCAACCTTTTCTAGGCTGTTGTATTTGGCAGTATCTGCAACTTCGCACAAGTATCGCACCCATACAGCATGTGGCGCTACGAATGGTGGACGAGGCTCGAGTACTGCTCCTGTTAATATTAAAATAAAAAGTAAGGTATAGGTAATTAACAAGTCAATGTGACTAGCTCACAGTCCATTCACACCCAACCCCGAGTTTTGTACTGTGGGCGCTGGATAAACAGAGTTGTAAGATTTGATTGTATAGCTTTATGATAATTGTGTAATATATAAATAAACAAATATTAGAGAACATCATATACGTTGTTCCGAGCCCAAAGCAACTTAAGCACTTATGTTATGGAAATCGGAAACGACGGTACAACAAAAACGCAAAACATAAAAAATCTAGATTTTTCCACCCAGAACCTCAGAGACGGTGACACCATGAAAACCGGTGCGCAAGACACGCGAGCAAGGAGGTAGTCATACAATAATTAAGGTTCCTTTTTTATTGTTTATTTTAATATGACGCTAACTTTTACATTTGTTTTATTTGTATTTAGATTAAGTTAACCTAAAAAAAACCTGAAAACCTAATCTGTTTATCTTTACTTAATTTTACAAAAATGGAAGTAAATTACTTTGATACTCCGCTAGTACAGTTCGAGTATTTTTTTCATGTAGTTAACTTTAATTTTTATTAACATGGATTTCGGCTAAGCAACGCGAAAAACTATAAATTATTTAATTTTATACCACGATTGACAAATGGCTGTTGCCACCGCTAAGCCGTCGACTCTGAGTCCACTATCAAATCTCCTCATTGGTGGCGGAGCTGTAAGGCACGCTCACTTTCCCAATAACCTAAGCGGCTGGAGGAATCGGAGGATATCTAGCTTATCCTCTACTAGCTCTCCGGGCTAGTGCTCCGGAGCAGCGAATTCCGGTTCACAAAAAAGAACGTGTTTTGAATATTTAAAAAAATACCTTCATAAGCAGCCAACGGACTGATCTCCTCGGCCTGTTTAGAGAACAGGCCCATTTTGCGATCCACAGTGCACTGCCAAGCGGCGAAAATCTCTTGCAACAATCTCAGCTCCATATCTGGTCGGGATGTGGTCAGCCATTGCCAACACTCGACTGCAGTGGTCACTGCGTCCTCCGTGAAGATTTCTACTTGAGACCAGGCTAGAAACACAGATAATAGGGGTTAAAGTATGAAATTGCCGATTTGTACTGAAAATCTAAATTGTTTATTTTTTAAATTTTTAACAAATTTATTTAATCAAAATAGTTGCCATTATTATCTATACATTGCTGCCATCTAATGGGAAGGTTATTAATGCCTTTGCGATAGAACTCCGACGATCTAGACTGCACAAACTGTGTGAAAGCATTTTGTACTGCCTCCTGGGAAGAAAACTTCTTGTCACGTAGATAATTGTCCAAATCACGAAAAAAATGGTAGTTGGAGCAAGGTCTGGTGAATACGGAGGATGACGAATGGTTTCTAACTGCAGTTCCTGAAGGGTCAAAATGGTTTCTCGTGCTGTGTGAGGTCTCGCGTTGTCGTGGAGCAATAATAGTGAAGATCGATTCATGAGTCGGGGCTGTTTTACTGCTAGTTTTGTCAACATGGTTCGGAGTTCGGCACAATCGACATCTGCCGTTATTGCTTGACCAGATCGGAGAAAACTATAGTGAATAACACCATGCTGAGACCACCAAACAGTTACCATTACCTTTTTATTGGTAAGTTTTGCTTTAGGACACTGTTGTGGCATTTGACCTGGGGTCAGCCATTGCATTTTTCTTTTCCGGTTATCATAAAGAATCCACTTTTCATCACATGTTACAATTCGATCCAATATTCCTTCATTTCTGTACCGGTTCAACAAGGCAACACAAGTTTCAACACGCGTTTCTTTCTGCAGATCAGTCAAATTATGAGGCACCCATTTTTCGTATTTTTTTATTTTATTGATTTGACGCAAGTGAGTCAATATTGTGGGTAAGGTAACGTTAAACCATGCCGCTAATTCCTGGGTAGTTTGACTAGGATCGGCTTCCACTATCTCTCTTAATTCATCGTTATTCACCTGTGTGAGCGGTCTTCCTCGTGGCTCGTTCTTTAAGTCGAAATTTCCATCACGAAAGCGTTTAAACCAAAATCGAACGGTGCGTTCATTAGTAGACCCCTCTCCAAACGCAGCATTGATATTGCGGGCTGTTTCTGCCGCGTTAGTTCCGCGTCGGAACTCGTATTCAAAAATCACTCGAATTTTCGCAGTATCCATCTTTCTTGTCTAAATTGAATAACAAAAACTATTGAAAGTCGATATTGAAATGTTTCAAATTTAAAAAAAAAAAATCACAGAAACCATTTGAAAAAAGTTTCATTCGAAAACCTCAAACCATGAAGATTCTATGAAAATTCAAAGAACCTATTGCAATAAAACGGCAATTTCATACTTTAACCCCTAATATATTGATTTGTAATGATTAAAAATTAAGTTAAACTTATTTATTTACATGTATCTCTTCAATTAATAGTACATAGGACATAATTTCTCATTAAATAAAAATACGCGATGTTCATTTCGTAAAATTATGACAGCGACATCTATATGCTCGATGGCGACAATAACAGTTGACCTGGATCGTAATAAGTCAGCAGGCCCTGATACCTTACCTGCTACGTTATTAACAAATTGTGCCCAGGAACTTGCTACACCAGTCACTATTCTGTTCAAACGGTCACTTAATGAAGGCATCGTGCCCACTATATGGAAATCGGCATATATAACACCCATCCACAAAAAGGGGTCCAAAACCAAAATAGAAAACTATAGGCCTATCTCTAAATTATGTATACTTGCTAAGGTCTTGGAACGTGTGGTGTTTAACAATCTATATGAGTCTATCAAGTCAAGTCTCATACCGCAACAACACGGTTTTCTGCGAGGTAGATCCACAGTCTCAAATTTAGTAATTTTTAATGAGTTTTTGACTTTTAATATGGACGAAGGTAACCAGATTGATGCTGTGTACACAGATTATAGTAAGGCATTCGATCGTATAGATCATAATCTTCTATTATCTAAATTATTAACTCTCGGTATACATGGTGATTTGTTTAGATGGTTTACATCGTATCTTTTGTGTAGGTCTCAGTCTGTAGTACTCAATGGCTTTGCTTCTTCATGGGTAACTATTCCTTCTGGTGTTCCCCAAGGTTCGTTACTGGGACCCCTTTTATTTGTGATATTTATTAATGATATCGGATCATGTTTAATAAATTCAAAGTTCTTATTATTTGCTGACGACATGAAAGTTTTTAAAGTTGTTAATAATATCTCAGACGCGATTCTTTTACAAGAAGATTTAGCAAGACTGGATATATATTGTACAACTAACAAACTTGACTTAAATGTATCGAAATGTTATTATATAAATTTTACTAGAAAGCGAAATATTTTCAATTATATTTATAAAATTAAAAATTGTAATCTTACTAGGAATGCCTTTGGATCTGATTTGGGTGTAATTCATGACAGTAAGTTATTGTTTGACCAGCATATTTCTTACATATATGACAAAGCTTACAAAGCTTTAGGATTCATCATTCGTACATCAGAACGGTTTAAAAATATGAAAACCCTGAAAATCCTTTACTGCACTTTTGTTCGTAGCCATCTTGAGTATGCATCCCAAATTTGGAATCCTAGCTATGATACTTACTCTAATAAAATTGAAAAATTACAGAAGAAATTTACTAGATTTTTAAATTACAAATTTAAATTGCCCCAATTGGAATATGTATATCGTTGTAGAAAACTTCATCTGTTACCTTTACACCTGCGAAGAAATATAGCCGATGCCTGTTTTTTGTTGAACATCGCTCAGAGTAAGATTGACTGTCCTGAGCTCCTTAGTAACATTTTACTCAAAGTTCCAGTTAGAGCATTTCGAAAGCATAATTTGCTCCATGTTCCGGTTGGCCGTACCAATTTTAGAGGTAATAGTTATCTGCCAAGATCATTAACATTATTTAACCAGCTCAATGATGACGGTCGCATAGACCTTTTCTGTAATAGCGTTATAAATGTAAAAGCTATTATGATTGATAACTTCTTATCAAATGACTTATAAGGCGATTGTTGTGTTTTCATAATTAGATGTATCATTGTAATTTTAAGCTTGTGTTATTGTAAGATTATTTTCTTAAGTTCAAATGTGGAAGCTTTTAATTGGCATCTGTTTGATCATACTTAAATCTATATTGTAAAAGTAGCTGTAAGCTCCCCAAATATAATAAAATAAAATAAACACTAAACTATAATTCCGAATTCATAACGTGACAATCAAGACTCAGCTTGTTTTATTTAATTTTCTTCATGAAAATGCAGAAAAATAATTGAAAACAACGTAATTTGCACAGATTACATTATTACATACTTTTCTTTTTTTGCCGTTAAAATTCTCTGAATGTAAATAATATTAAGCACTTTAACATTATTCTACGACAGGACGATTCGAAACATCAAAAAAGAAAGAGATAGCATTATACAGTTCACAT